CCAGGCCAGCCCACTTGGGGCAGTGGATTTCCACCAGGCCAGCCCACGCAGGGGCAGTGGATTTCCACCAGGCCAGCCCACGCGGGGGCAGTGGATTTCCACCAGGCCAGCCCACGCGGGGGCAGTGGGTTTCCACCAGGCCAGCCCACGCGGGGGCAGCCTGGCTGCACGAGCTGGGGCCACCGAGCGTACCTCCCTCTCCTTGTCCTGCCTTCTCCTCACTGCCTGTGCCCTTCCCAGGTTTTTCCCTTGACCTGGCACCTGGCACCCCAGCCTGGCACGCACAGACGCTTCCTTCTCCTTCCTACAGACGCTCTCCCCGCGGTCAGGCCAGCACTGAGGTCCACGGGCACCCCCACACCCAGCAAGCCCTCCTCCTGCTCAGCGCCGGGTCCCAGCCCTGCCGGCCGACACCGCTCCAGCTGCCCCTGGCAGCCGCACCGGACGGCAATTCCCAGCAGAGCCCTGCTGCTGGCCACCACTCATTGTTCCCTGTTTAACGGGGGCTTTCTGTCCCTTCCGCTGACAAAGACAGGAAGCTCTGGGAGCTGGGCAATCAAGATAACCCGTGAAACATGCTACAGCTCTGATCCGCGGAGGCCGCTGCGGCCCAGGAGGGAACACGTCGCCGGACAGAGTCGAACTGCTCACTCTCGAAAAAGAGCTTTGTGAATGCTTAACTTTTTTAAAATAAAGGATACATCACCGCTGACCAATCATGACAAAATCTAGAAACTGTGCCCAAGTCAGACGAATTTAGAACCCAACTAACACCCAACAGGGGACAGGGTGGTAAGTGGTGTTTGTGGTAACAAAAACAACGTTTTCCCTGACCTGGCAATACCGCGCAGCGCGTGAGATGTGGGCCTGTACTTTCCATGTGAAATTCTGACATTTATCAGATTAAGCGGGGGTCTGTGCCTGGAGATTGTTTCCAGAGAAGCTCCGGATCTGGGGAAGACCTCGGGGTCTTGTTCTGAGAGGGCGGGCGTGCCGCATCTTCCTGGCGTGGCCAGCACAGGGCGGATGCTCCCTATGCGTGTGGCCGGCGAGGGCGTGAATGAGGGATCCTCCCACACCATGGACTGGGTTTCAGAAGAGAAAACAGGACAAATTTTAGCCCTCTGAGGATTGATGGGGGCAAAAAATCATACAACTGATAAAACATGGAGACCTAATATCTGTTCAACAACTTTCTATATTTTGTTACCACTTAAACATCAAATGACATGTTCTCCCTCCTTAACGATTCAGACATCAAAACACTTAAAAACTGTCTTTAAAGATAGAGCAGTGTTACAAAGGTGAAGTCATACGCGGGGCATCGGTTCACCTTTAGTTCACCTAAAATCTTGCTAAAAATGTCACCAATGGGACTTAACACTAGTCCTTCCTTCTGCAAAGATAAGAAATTGTTTTTCACACTTTGGGGACTGGACTCACTTCTTGGACGCTACTAATAATAGAATGGCAAAAACCCAGAACATTTCCTCGAAGCCCAGAGACACAAAAGCCACTTGATCTCTAAAATTGAGAAAGAACAATCTGCTCTATTGTGTTTTCAAATTTACCACTTTAAATTTTTTTGAAATTCTCCTGCCAGGGTTGACCCCCTCTCCATGTCTGTATCTTTGGGGACTGACACCAGGATAAAGCTCCTCTGGGGGAGGGAAGGAACTGCCCCTTGGAGGCCCCTCCACGAAGAGTGGGGTGCCACGGCCCAGACCCGGTGGTGTCCCCAGACCAGCACTGCCCTGGAGAGCCCACGCACGCTCAGACGCCCCCCTTTCTTCTCCCTCGCATGGAGCACCCCCCACGCTTCACGAAGGGGGTCGCTAACGGAGTAATATAGTTAAAGCACGCAATACCCCTGGTGCGCGGCTGTGAGCCGTGCCGAGAGCTTCTCCCACAGGCAGCCCCGAGAGCCTACTCTTCGCGTCAGCCCTGTGCGGCCCCTGTCCTCACGGACCCACCGCACAGACGAGGACAGCCGGGCCCCGCAGGGCTGGCAGAAGGCAAGGGCAGGTTCCCGTCAGTGGCCTCCGCCTCCCCAGCACTCAGGCTGGCTCTCCACAGCGTCCCCAGGGCAGAGAACCCCAGCCGCACTTCATCCAAAGAGAACCATGAGAACATAACTGCATTTCCACTTTAGCACTTGATTAGAATTGAGAATTAATTCAGATTAGATCCCAGAATTTTTATGTGTGTATCAGACAGCTGCACTAGCTTGTTCACATTTGGGAAGAGATAACCAATATTCCTATCTCCAAAATCAGACGTATGAGATGAAGTTCAAAATACTATTTCTTTTGTTTTGTTTTTTTGACAGACAGAGACACAGCGAGAGGGAGAACACAAGCAGGGGGAGTGGGAGAGGGAGAAGCAGGCTTCCCGCGGAGCAGGGAGCCCGATGCGGGGCTCGATCCCAGGACCCTGGGATCATGACCTGAGCTGAAGGCAGACGCTCAACGACTGAGCCACCCAGGCGCCCCTCGAAATACTGTTTCTAACAGCACAAGTCCATCTGCAAGGATTACCGATAAGCAGGTCCACAGAGACGAGAGTTCTGGTACGGAAGTGGGTCTGGGCAGAAAGGAGGAGCCTCCAGCCATGACCGTGCCCGGACGGGCCGCAGGAAGATGCAGGCAGGTTCACGAAGCACAGCCTCCCGTTCCGGAGCCGACCTGCGGACACTGCATCTGGTTAAGCTGCAAGTCCGGGGGCCCCGAAGGACCGTGAGAGCAGCTCTTCTCCACCAAAAACGTGTTCTTCAGGCATAGAACCCGCCTGACGAGTGGCTGAGGTCGGAAGACCTGTCACTGCCATGCCTTTTGATTGTTACTAGTTAGAACCTCAGAAGTGTCTCTCGGGTCGTGTTCGTTTATGTTGACTAGAGGCTGGAGGGAGTTCTCTTACTCGGCTGGTGCAGATGACCAACACCAAAGGTTCTCCCACCGGGAGTGCCTGCCAGACGAGCTGCTGTGAACGCGAGAATCCCCCACTTGTGTCCCTGGGGGGGCCCACCTTCTCCAGCCACAGTGCCTGACCTCAGCACCATGGGGCCCCTGGAGTCTGGAACGTGGCCATTATTCTTAGGGAACCCCTGACACAGCTGTGGTTTGGAGCTGATCCGTGAAGCAGTTAGCAAACCATGTGGAGAGCACGTCATCACGAAGGGCCACACGGGGGCTGCCTGGAAATGGGGGGTAAGGTCCAGAGAGCTGGCGGGTCCCGGAACAGGTCCCAGGACGAGGGAGGACAGCAACACGGTGACAGTCACCTGGAGACGCTGGACACAGGAGGGCCCACGACCAGGAGCGTGTTGAGTGTCCAGATCTGGTACCCCCGATGCCCACACGCTTGCGGGGAGCCAGCTTCGTGTCCGTTGTCTGCTTCGCCTACACAAAGGGGTAATTAGTGGACAAATGCAGAAGCGTGAGTGTGACTGATTCTGCGAATCCAAGGTCACCCTCTTCCAGATGCTCCAAGCGTCCTCTGGAATTGCCTCCGGGGCCCCCTCATGCTTTAGCGTGTAGTCAGGGTCTTCCAGACGCCCCCTTCAACTGAAGACCTGTCGTCTTTCCAAACAGCTGACCTTCACTGTTTGTAGCCATGTCCACTGGGCGTGGACACCTCAGATACATTTACAGAATATTTTGAGCAGGGGAAGCAATTGGAAAACTGCTAGATCTGAGCACTGCCAGGGCCGCCGTGGGTCCCCAGCTTGCCCCTCCAAGGCGCTCGCCGACTCCACTCCACGCCCAGGGCTATGCCCTCGGGGAGCTGTTTTTTGAGTCCTTAGGACAAATATTCCCTTTTGGTCAAAATCTGCCTCCGATAATTTCTACTTGTTGACTTACCCAGAGGCCAAGAGGACACCTCCGCCCCCGCCCAGCGGCAGGTCTCAAGACTGAAGGGCACGGCTGCGCTCCTGGTGGGTCCTCTGCTTTCCAGCAACAGCCAAAGAGAACACTTCAACATCTATCTTAAAAACGAGAAGACAGTGGAGTCACCCTGAGGCCGGCTCTTCTCCCACTGGATGGCTGGCTGTTCAGACCACAGCAGGTGCCACGTTAGTGCTGCACAACAACCTGCCCCCAATTCAGTGACACGTTTCTGCCCCCTGCTCACAGCTCGGGGCGGGGGGCGGGCGGGCTCTGCTCCACCTGCCTCATTTTGGTTCCAGGCCGGAGGGGCAGCGGCTACCCTTGGGCATGTTTCCCGGGGGGTCCGCGGCAGCAGGAAGGGGCTGCTCACGACAAGCACATCTGAGCACCAGGTCTGCCGAAGCAAGTCCCAGGGCCGAGTGCAAGTCAAGGATCACAGACTCGTGTCTGCCCCAGCGGAAGGGGCGGGAGGGAGCGCTCGCTGGAAGGGAATCCACATAATCCCATCGCCCCATACTCACTCCCTCCTCTTTCTCCCCTCTTTGTCTGTCCACCAAGGACCCCGCAGGACACAGAGAAGGGCTTTCTCAAATTCCAGGCACCAGGGGAGGACGTTCCTTTGACCCTCACAGACATGGTTCGCTATGAATGCAGTGAGTCCGTGGAGGCTGGAGATTACTGCGTCCCTCTGTGGACTCTCAATTCATTCCATCATCTCTGCTTTCTTCGAAGGTCAACGTGGCCAATTTATAGTTTCTCAATCGCACATTTTCTTTCCAAAAATCAGGGAAGTAGTCATGGTTCTCCGATCTTTAGGGGTTTCATCTTCCAGCCGCAGGCCCTCAGTTCAGACCGACCTGTGCTTTCTACCCCTTGCGACTTCAGCACACACGGAGACGAGCGGTCAGACAGCGCATCAGTGAGCCATGGCAGACGGCACAGTGGGGACAGCGCCACGCCCAGGGGTGTGTGGGCAAGGCTCCCAGGAGCAGCCATGAGGCTGGTGCCTGAGGGCGGGCCCCGAATTAGCCGCCGGAGAGCAGGAGCCCCAGACAGGGGCGGCCCCGAATTAGCCGCCGGG